GGCATTCTTATCGTCTGTAGCATTGCTCTCTCCACCTTCCGTCTTGTCATACGTCAAGTCCTCGTATGCACCAATCTTGACAATGTGGTGCTCCATGTTCGCAGTGACCAGACTTCTTGGCTTCAAGTCGTTAGTGAAAAAATATTCTTTGCTTATCAGTCTGCCATTCCCATCACTGTGGTGACTATAGCAACAATATTCATGATTGTGGTGCTACTGAGACATCGCGTGCCGTCAGAACGACGAAAGGAGCAACGGTGGAGTGTGGAAAGGAAGCCAACTCAAAAGGAAGGCCGGAATTGGAAGTGTTGGCGAGGTGGTCGATCGACACCAAGAGATGATGGTGGTGGCTGTGTGGTACCTTCGTTACAGGCGGTGCGACAAGCACAACGACTCCCCAACCAGATGCGCGCCACGCGTTTTATCCTCTTTATTGCCACTGTCTTCATCGCCTGCGAGGCGCCAGTCTTCTTTGCTGTGGTCTGTGTAAACAGTATGTCTCCAACAGTGGTGATTTGGGTATTTACCTACCTACGTTTCCTCATCATCGCTGACTCCTTTGCAAATTTTGTCATCTACCTCCTTACTAGCCGACCCTTCCGCGTGGAGCTGGTAAACTTGCTGACGTGCCGAAGGCGCCGAGATCCCCTAAGTTCCACAAGTTTGCCCACTTCCAACCAACTTCAACCCTCAAGGACAAGTGTGCAACAAGTATAGATGCATTGCTGTGATCATTCCTTTCATCCCCTACCTCCTTCCTCCTTCTTTCAAGTTTTTTATATCCACTTCTGATTCCGTCATCCCCTCCCTCCAGTCGCTGTAAACGCATTGCTGCCAAACGGCAAATTTAGGGATAATGGCACTCAGTGTCAGTGGTGCTCTTCTTATTTAGCAGCGTTTTTAAAAAGGCGATAAAAGGATTTGGGGTGAGTGACGTCTCAATGTCTCTAGTGAAGGTCTTAATGCTGAGCTATTAATTCGTTCTACTTGAGTTTCTTTGGCCTACTTAAATTCGTTTAAGTAGTATTCTGGTGATGAAGCCATCAATTTATAAATGATAATTTATTGCATTCACTTGGTTGCTATTATCTAAAATTATCTGCACTCATAGACTTATTTGCTCTCTCTGAGTTGGATCGTTTATGACATTTTACTCCTTTGAAAAGGAAATTTTCTGCAATTTTTTGAACGGCTCATTTAGCTAGCTCAATTCAATGCCTACTCTCCCTGTGGAATGCGATCTCTATGGGTTCGACTGAGTTTATCCATGGCCTCTTTCCCTATCGGGTAGAACCACTGAGTCTCTCATTTTCTCATCCATGATCGAAATGTTGCAAAACCTATATGCTGCTGACTCCGTGAACCGTCTCACTGACTTATTCGTTAAAGAATTCCTGAAAACCTAGTTAAATGCCCACAAAAGAGGGGAAGCAAAATCACGCAGAACATTCAGGCATCTCGCTTGCCTGGAGAGAAAGGCAGTGAGTACTTTTATGCTCGGTACACATAAATACGATTAGATCTTAATATTGCAGCGCTTGGTTTACGCTGTCCATTGCGTGTTTTCACCTGCATTGGAATCAGGACCACTCAAATGTCCCTGGTTCCAGTTTGTCGTTTTTTGAATAGCCTACTCTTCGTGTTACGGCTTAGATAGTGATTGCAATGACGGTTCTATATGAAAAGGCCGCTTGTAATTGGTAAAAATCCTGTACAATAAACGATACATTAATATTTAGAGCGTTCAGTTAAAACAATTTATAGCCGAGTTGTCGAAACTTGCACCAACACTTGCAGTACCTTTTTGTTCACTGAGTTACCACACGTAGACCAATCAAATTATTTGGACTTCATCTCAATTGGTTTGGTAGATTTTGTACAATGCTGATTGATTGACAGATATGCTTTTGGAGGCAGCATCCGCATTTTGTATTAGAATTCTCGCACAATGCCTCAGTTGTTTAATGGATCATATGAGGGTTAATTTTACCGCCCAGATTGACCCACTATAGATGTTACACAGTCTGAGGACGATTAGAAGATTGAGGGAGAACAGACACTTCTTCCACTGTCGCTTCTTATTCACTATTCATCCTACCGGTTATCCCCTTGTCTCAGTACTTAACAATCACATGCAAGAGGAATTAGACGGCTGGATGGAAAAATGAAGTGTAAATAACAACATTTTTCGTTTGTCAAAATAAAATACTTTGTGGAAAGTAAAATAGTCGACAACTTGAGAACACTATTTTCGTAGTAAAGGTTAATTAAACTTATGCTGAATCATCAAGAGGTTTAATACAAACGATTCACACCCACATTAAGACAGTATTCTCGCCTAAACACAATAATTCTTGCCGAAACCTACTCCAGAAGTAATTTACAGGGCAATTTGCCTGTTTGTCTAGCATGGTGCAAAATGAAGTGTGGTTTACACAAGCATCTTAATGGCTTTAGCTGCATCGGTATTTAAGCCTATGCCCATTAATAGAATGGATGTCGGAATTAACCGACCACCCGCGAAAAAAATTGGAGTGGGAAGTAACTTCACATTTTTTATCTTAGTAAATTGTTTTGAAGAAATGCACTTTTATGCGTTCTATTTTCTCATATGGAAAACGAATACACGTAAGATATTTGCAACTCCATTGCTAGGCGTCAAGACATAAAAATTAATTACCGGAAAAAATGGGCGCAAGATACATGCCAAACAACTATGCACACACGCCTCGTTCTGAAATATGGTGATTTATTTTGATGGAAATTATTATGCTTGCAGTGCAGAACGTAATACTCGGTAAGCTTTGAGTTGACTTTCACTGTTTTACTATAACTGCAGAATTGGCAATTTTCAAATGTCGAAGGTTTAAAAATGCAAATTAGGAAAGAGTAAAATGGTGAAATTTCTGTCACCTCTAATGTTCCTCGATGACATGGGAGCCGAAGGGATTGGCGATTAGACTAAACTCAAAACAAAAATAAAATCATGAACATTGTACCTTTCACAGACTTGTAAATCTCGAAAGTTTTTCCCAACGAACTCCACCGCATCAAACTTCACATCCTATTATGCATTTATATTGACTAAGTAAATTTAATAAAGGTACAATGATTTGTTTAAACAACCATAAGAATAGTTCTTTCTTCCTGAAACTTTTAATTAAGCATTAATTTGATAAGCTACCGTAAAGTTTGGATTGGTTACGACCTCATACATGGAAAATCTGTCCAAATTATGTCGGCTTGCACTAATAAAAGATGTGTTATTTCTAACATTACTCTATTTTATTTAAAGCTTGTGGATCCAAATCAACTAATTATAAATCGTCCGAAAAAAATGAATGCAATTTTGATCTTGTTTATTTATCAAAGTGAATGAAAATTTTGGTTTTCTTGTACTTCTAGGTTCCTCATCCAATAATCTCTTATATGATGGGCAGAATTGAAAAGTTGTGTCATTCCACTTCTACCTTTGAGTACTATAAAAGCAGATATTCTTTTGCGACTGCAGCCTAAATCAAGATTTTTGCAAATTTTGTACCCGCGCAAAATTTTCTCTTAACGTATTTCTCCTGGAATGTAAGCGTGTTTGCTGTTTTCACCTAGAAGGTGCTAAAAAGATGGCTGTATTTCGAAATGCATATTGAGTGAGACATCCTTGTGTCCTATCGCGGTGCGTTCGCAACAATATCATATCTTACCTTTTTGTACTTGGTTGATAAGATTATGAAAATGCGATTTACCAAGCAGTTGTGGTCAAAGGCAAGAAGCACGCTAGCTCTTCCGTGTTCATCTCCTTTGCTGAACGTTGACTGTAGTTACTGACTGGGCTATAAGGTGGGAACGTCTCTGACGCCATCAACATAAAGCGCTGGCTTAAAATCTTTGCGAATGTGAGAGGTTTCTACCTTGCTGCTAATTCAATTCATTTTGGCGGGAAGTTGCTGTTATCTACGTGATTATGGCGTCGATATTTACGTCTATCGAATGGGATGTCGGCACTTGGTAAATATGCGCATTAGTAATGTTTTGACCATATGCCCGTAATCCTTTCCTCAAATCAAATATTCACCCTCCATACAGCTGTCATACGTTCTATTTTATTTTTAAATTCATTTTAAGCAGGTCCATTGATGAGACGTTCATTTTACCTTTCATCATCTTGAGACGAGGAAGGGGTGAGTGTCGGGAACTAATTCAACTAATGGACACTAAAACGAGCCAACAATTTCTAGGGTTTGGAGATTTCTCCCTCTCGTCCTTAACAGCTTTTCCTCCTGTGGAAAATTTTGTCAAATAATAGGCACATATTCGAAAAAAAGTCGAGGATTTTGAATCTGCACCACTAACTCATTGGATTTTGCAGTACTTATGTTAATCACATTCTCCTCAAGTGGTGGTTGTAACGGTAGTGACAAATGTATACCGTTGTCTGATTTTTATAAATAGCCAAGCTTTTGGTTAGCTTTCAGACAACAGTGTCAGTTGCTGCGCTCCATAACTTTTGCTAGATTCAAAGAAAGTGAGGAGAAATAAATACTAATGTACTATTTTAGAAGAAGACCACATTCATTAATTTGACATTCAACACATAAAGTAGGCTTGGGAGGTTGAGATTTTTTTGGATCGTTGTGATTTGATCGTGCAGTGACCTTTTATGATGGAAAATATCAAGTTAGTTGACGTGTGTGACAGGATGTGGTTGATGATGTGATTGGTGATGCGATAAAATTGCCTCACACGTACGTTGTTGTACGACTATGGGGGGTAGGGGGAAGGCAGGGGCAATGGGTGGGAGGAGGAAGGCAAAGTGGAATGAAAATACTTTAGGTAGACTCAAGCAGTCATGGTTTGCATCACCGCTGAGCGAGACACCAGTCATGCTTTACCAGCCCATGAGCACGACTATGTCTGACTCGGGGAGCATTTATGGTCATCTTCTAAACTCACACCTTCCGCTAATTGGTTGCCCTCGGAGTCCGTGGCTTTTCTTTTCCTCCTTCTCCTCCCCCTTCCCCTTACAATTTTGCCTAAGGCTGTGGAGAAAGCGGACATAATTGCGAATCAAAAAAGGCGATACATCCATGGCCTAATTTAGTACTTAATGTTGCGAACGATCATATGTGTTTACTTTCTCACTCTTGTAGGAGAAGCATAAAATGTCTGCCTTCTTTTGATGTTTTATTGGGTTACACTATACAACAAAACATATAGAAGTTAGCAGATCAGTATAACATAAAAGATATCGTAATGCCGAATTTAGCCTTTTGATTAAGGGGCATGCTCCTTTCCTCCCCCTTCCACTGCCATTGCTTTGGAAGGAAAAGCAAAATGAGCACACACCTGTCCACTTATGATTTGCTCATGTATGTACTATTGAGTGTTTCTCTTGCTCTAAAAAGGGTGGAAGTGGAGTGGTCTTTCTTCCCCTCCTTCCTCTCACCAGTAAAGGGGTTCAGGTGGTCAGGTGGTTTGCAAGTGACCTTCGTCATGGACGATCGCTCCTCCCCGCGATCCACCGCTTAAGGTGATGGCATAACTTATGGATTCTTACAAGGGAGGCAAGTCCTCAATCCCTTTCTCTCCCCTTTTTGGCTATAAAGCGAGTTATTCAAAAATTAGATTGCCCAATGGCCTAAATGCTGTGGATTGGGTTTTGTATTATACCATTTGGTATGCGGACGAAGGCATCACTACTTATCGCCTCTCCATCGAACTGTCCACTTCAACCAGTAGGTGCTTAAGGATTCCAGTGTGTCTGTTATGTGCCGAGACGTAGGGGTGAGCAAACCTGGCCATGGAGGCATGTTCCTCCATTCGCACCTTTCACTCCTCTCAAAGTTGTCACCATCGTCCTGTGGGACATAGTGGCCATTTGGGCAAATACAGGTGAGGAAAGGAAACGTGGGTGGTTGTAGCAAGGTTTAAGCTTTCTCTAAAATGTAAAAGCGACAAATAAATTGAAATTTTGAGGTGATAATGGCGACGGTACGTCTATCTCCCGTCCTTCACACAAGAATGGTGTGCTAGTTGATCTCAACACAGGAAACATGCACTTTGGGAGCGGGAGGAACGGACCGATCTGCAATTTTTATCAACCACAAGAGTGGCTGTCCTTCCACCTGCCAAACGACGATTTATGCTTTTTGGCGAATTAACTATAGGTACTGGATTTCATTCTCTTATTTGGGCGTCTTTTAGGTTTGACATGGCAGCTGTCAAGTTGACCGGAGCTGACACCAGTTGAAAAGTTTATCAATAACATGGTGATGATAGCGTACTGTTGCCAAGCCTGTGGTCGGCACAAGGCCAAGGTGGCCTCCCACTTGCGAGCTACGAGATAGAAAAACCTTAAACTGACTACGGTCATGGTAATGTAGACTGAAATGTTTGTATAGGCTGGACCTATGCATGTTTCTGAGTCACAGCAACACATCAAGCAGCAGCCGAGTCAGTCAACAGATAACACAAAACATGTGCATGAAGAAAGGTAAAATAGCTACAGGGAAGGTAAGGCTTTGCTCTCCACAATTTGTTTCATGAAGGATCTTCATCACGAAAAGTCATAACAGTTCATTACCAATGCAGAGCATAATTTATTAATCACGTGAGAGTGTTTGAAGCAACCAACCCCCTCCTGTTTCCAAGATTTTACCCTCATTGCTTCCGTCCAGAAGTGGTGGCAATAATGTAATTGAGTCCACTGTCTTTGACGCATACCGAGTTTGCTGTCTCATTAGAGACACTACCGCATTGCAATTTCATAGGGTTCGCCTTAAAGTGACTTCACTTTGACAACAAGTTGTAACTCAGTCTCTAGTCGTACAGTCCCATTTGATTGAAGCCGTGGAGCAAAGGAGCGTTGGAGTATAAGAGAGCATGGAAGATGGTTTTTGCATCCAAACTTAGCAGCCCTAAGGTTTGTCATTAAGTTGGTCCCCACCTATCGTTGGAACTCGATTTCAGTTGTAATGAAGCTCGATGCTGTGCGCTGAGCAACAACAAGGCACAGCTAACACAATCGCAAAAGCACAGCAAAAAGGCAATCACCAAATGGCTGATTTTAAGCGTTTACTAGTAAGAAAAATAGTTTTAAGCAGGATATCGTTCTCGCAGGCATTTTCACTCGTTCTTTATCTTGATAAAAGCTACCCTAGCTGACAGGTCGACAACACATGCGAAGATTATTAGCAGAAGCAACTGTGGTCCAGTTGCCACGGCATGCATCATCGCCGTATTAGCATTCCACACTTTACCTAAACCACCCAGTTTTGGTAACTCAACTGCACGGATGGTTGACCTCAAATGAGTGCCAGCTGAGTTTGAACCCACTAAATAAACAAATGCTTTGCAGAGGTAATTAGTAAAAACTTCAGGTTTAGCATAGTTAATTAATGAATGAAAGATTTAACACGCAGATTTGTGGATTATTCAGCAAAATTTGTCACATTTTGTTACATTTCCCACATATCTCGCACAAATGATTCCATGGCGAGTGGAATTTGTTGTCGAAGAAGCGCAACTGAAAGCCAAAAATGGGATTTATTGCTTTCAGTAGACTCAAGGATTTGAATTTACAAATAAATCATTCACTCGAATCCGGTTTTTACACCTCCTTGGACAGATAAGCAGAAGTAGTTGAAATAACCTCCTTCTTCGCGGATTGAATTGCCGCCATGGCAAGTAATTGTTATGTTAATTGTCAGAATTTGTTAGTTCAAATAATACTCTAAACGCAACAATCCACCAGTGATACACGCACATCTGGAAGGTAAAAAACTATTTGCAAGAGAATATCATTTAATAAACAACTAAACAAATAACATGCACTCAGATTTGTGGCAGTAAATATTACAATCCGATATTTTCTGACCTCTTCACGACTTCACATACATCCGTGCACAAGTTTGTAGAAGAAGTTTGAATACGTCAACTTTCTCCAAATTTTCCTTAAGAAGATTTCCTTTCTTCACTTTGATTATATAAGAGCATTTAGCAGAATCAATTCCATTGTTTCCAAACTTATAAGTACTCTGTTGACGTTGTAAAAAATTCATTTCGTGTGTTAAAATTAGTTAATGCTACCGACGTTGACCTGTTTTGGGAGCAAGAGTCTCAGATTACTGCTTCCGTCAAATCAAAGGCAGCTTTAAATGAACTATCGAAACATTATGCATTGTCGGCAAATTTGACTTTTCCACAGATTCCCTTGTAGATTTTGCCACTCTCCCTTGACGAGTTTAATCGGCAGTGAAAAGTTTGTGCATGTGGGCAGCGTTTGGTGTTAGCGTGTCTAGAATTGGTGGTTAATTTCCCACATCATTTGGATGCTGAATTTGGTTTTTTTTTGTAATTAGCGCAACTTTAGGAATAGCTCCTATTTTTGCCAACCTATGGAGGCTATCCATTGGGTTTGTATGGCCTAACTTGAATGGTTTTTAAGTCAGAAGTGAAAAAGTTTGTGCATATAAACCAGGCGTTCCTTCACTTATGCTATCATACTTATCTCCCTTTTTGTCCGACATCGTTCCCGTGTCATTTGAATTTCGTTCTGTGTCTACTCGTCTTTTACAACTCCTGCACTCCAATATCCATTCGTCCACTTTCTACTTATGCCACTTGCACCAATTCCTACCCTCCCTCTCTTCCTCATCCATTCTGTACTCACTCCGTGTACATCTTGCATAAGTACTGCACTCATCCATTGTGTATTCTGCATTCACTCACGTCCATCATCTAGTTTCCGTCCTTTCATCCTTTAAGAATCGCACACCCTTCTGCCCACGTGTTCACTACCCATACCTCCATCACGTATGCTTTACTGCTTCATTTCTATTATACTCACCCGTCCGTCTATCTTGACTCCATTCCATGCTCAATCCGTGTTCATCCCGTATCTGATCCGCATCCACCCCTTTTTGTCCTACCTACATTCGGTACCCTTAACGTATCCAACCCATATCCACCCTCTCTTATCTGTGTCTTAACATTCATTTAGCCACCAGCCCGTATCCATTCTTCCCGCACGCATCCACCACTCACTTGTATCCACTCACCGATTCACTTACCTACCATCCTGCATCCAATCATTCCAGCACTAATTACAACTTCTACAACATAAATTAATCTCCTTTTAAGCAAATGAGGCTAACGACTGAATTCAAACCTAAAGAAGGTCTTCTGTGAAGTAGGATCCTGCTGCTTTTGCCGATAAGTATCGTTAAGGTAGAACGTTGTTTTAAAAGAATGTTTAATTGATGTTCGATGGAAGTGTAGCCGTATCAAACTAGAAGCATGTCTTTTATCTCGTGCACACGGTGCATCTGTTCAGCGGCGCCTTCATACAGATTCATTTTCTCCTTTGCAAACAGAAGGCTTAGCTAACTCTCATACGTCCGCCTTAAGCCAACCATACCAAAAGGACTGATTCTAACAACAGCCCAACTTCACCCTCTCTATCTGAACCAAAGAGAGCTAAGCTCGTTCAATGGCAAGTACTGTGTACAATCGTTTATGAGTGCGAACAAGTGTTATTTCGGACTCCTGATCACTGAAAGAATCGTTGCAGCTGGGAAGTACCAAATGAGAACTTCAAGTTAGGATGACAATTGGGTCATTTTGGGCTTCGCTTCCTTCACAAAGTGCGTCCACACTAAGCGACACGGTCCTTTGGTAATGGCAAGCCATCGGGAAAAGGGTAATGTACAGTCAAGATCTGGTATTCCACCTTAAAGGCCGCGCGCTCAGTGTGTCAACAAGGGAAAATAGTGTTCCTACTGACAGCTTACATCCCACTTACCAGTTTTGCTGCCTTGTTACAAAATCATCGAGAAGTGACAAAAGGGTAAAGAAAATTGGCAGAGATGGCAAAGTTGGCATGTAATGAGACTCTTTACTGCCTTCCAAATGAATGTCAACGAACTCGCCACGAAAGTGAAGAATGGCAAAAACATTAAATATGAGCATTGTGAAGTAGGGACATGGGAAAAATTATTAGCAAGACCATACGCTTTAAGGGACAAACAGTTGTTACTTCTACATATCTTTCCGAGTTCTCCCTGGCTACAACTTGTTTCTTGAAAGAGGCGTATGATATAAACAAGATTCCATTCCGACGATTCATATTCCTTGTCTATCAACAACCGTTTGTACAAAATGGAAGTCGTAAATAGGTTGGCTTAGAGATGGATTCTTTACCTACGAAAAATGTAGTGTCAGTTACGCAAAGTTGACTTAAATAAGTGACATAATGAACTGAATGAGCGGAATTTTATTCGATGACTATGCCCCTTTTACCCGTCAAGCTGAGAGGTCGAGAATAGAACGCATTTTGGTTCAACAAGATATGCTCTTAAATCACCTCGATCATCGACGCCATAGCACTTCGTTAGGATGTTAGCAAAAGCCTGACGTAGCTGATGTTACATTACCAAGGGAAAAATGAATAGAGAACTGTAAGACCGTATGAAAACCGTCAGCAAATATGTTACACAAAGTCCTCCAAGAACAAGTGATACAAACAATCTACTTAATACAAATCAGTAGAAATACAATACCCATTAAATGTCTAGATCATCGTCAGGATCGTCCTCGTCAATATCGTCGAACACATCAGGCTCGTATTCAATAGTGCTTTCAGGTGAAAAGTGGGTAGATAGATCCACACTAGCATTTGTCGCGGCTTGGTAGGGCAGTACAACCCTCTGTTTGGCCTCGACCTCCGCTTGCGAGACAGTTAGTTTGAAGGTAGAGGTAGGCAGCTTTTCAGGCTCTCTCACGGTCTCAGTTGCCGCCGAGATGGAACAGCTAACAATGGCGTGCGTTTTGTGATCCAATGTGACACGGCACAGTGCAGAAATAGCCGGCTTGTTTGAGGGCGCGAGGGTGGGGAGCAGCCGCACAGATGTGAAAACTGAATCAAGAGTTCGTCGATGCCAAAAATCGGCTTTCAAGATATTTTGACTGCTAGTCGGACTTAAGGAAACACATGTGGTGGCATAGGACTTGAAAATATCGCTAACTTGTTCACTCAGCCAAGATACTTCTCCACTAGAAGTTTTATAGATATTCAAAGAACAGACAACTGAGACAGTTGAACGCTTAGTGGAAAGGGAAATAAGATGTGACAAAATTAGACTAGCCCAATCACGCATTTCGTAGTCAGAGGGGCAATCCAAGAGGAAAGCATCCATGCTCTCAAAGAAAATGACCCAGGGCTGAGAACTCAAAGATGTTGTTGAGACTCGATTGTCCACCTCTTTTAGGCAGTCTAATGCATTAGAAAAGTCCCAAAAGCAAACTTTTTCAATGCCACTTGGAAGATGGCTTGGAAGTGGAGAGCCAGGTAATTCTGATCTGACAATTAGACAAGAGTATTGTTCACACAGCCGTTTACATAGAGTAGGCCATACTGAAAAGCATGAAGTGAGAGGAACAAAGTCTTCAAAAAGGAGAAATGACGAAATCCTCCTACCCCCGAGAATGTCAAAGAGGTGTGCGCTGGGGAGAGACATGACGTAATGCTGAAGGACAGAGAAAGCATCAAACGAATAACACTGTTAAACTATTGACGAAGTTTGCATATTGATAACCTCACTATTGGTATTTTGAATTCACTAGCCTAAGCAGAAAGTCAAGTATCTCTTGCGAAAACCTACACACACCCAGATTATCTCGTAGTCCCAACTCCAAATAAAAAGCATCTTCGTAGTAGCAGGATTAATATTCGCACTGGTGAGAAAATGTGGACATATTTATAAAAGTAATTCGAGTATAAAAACGTGTAACTACTTGTCTACCAGAGCCAACGAATACAATTTTCGCGCCTTGATTTAATTGGCTAAATTATCAGGACATTGCATTTATAACCTGTAAACCAATTAACGCTTTGGCTCCACATTTGATCTTCGTGTTTGTCAGGACAGTCCGCGCAATGACGACTGTGCAGTAAGACCTATGGATGCCTGTGAATCGTGTTTAGAGACGACTGTGCTAAGCTCAGAACGTACATCAATGAACAACTTATGCTATCAGGGGAAAGAGAAAGGCTTAAAGACTTACTAAGGACAAGGTTGCTAGAATGCGGCTGGCGAGATGAGCTTAAGTCTTATTGTAAAGGTAAGCTGTTAGGAAGCTCTTAGTTTGTTGACGCAATCTCGTTAAAATTCTTTCGCGGAATCCACTGTGATACAATTTGTACTGTCGTGTCTTTTGCTTTTCTTATGCAGAAGTGATCGCGAAGAAAGGTATTTCGTATGTTACTGTGAACGATCTGGTTACCGAACTGACCCCCGTGGCCCGTCGTCTGGTTCCGGATTCGGTGAAGCAAGAGCTTGTCGACGCAATACGTAAATTTCTGCCAAAAGATAGCGAAGAGAGCAACAATGGCGATGATGATGACAAATGATACCCCTGCATACTCGTTTTGTGCGTCTTTTTTTGAATTTCCAACACATTTTTTAATGAAACGATTTGATATTAGTCGCCATGTTTGACTCTCTCCGTCCGAGACTTTACCACATCTCTTTAACGTGGAGTCGCTTTATCCCTTCCCGAAGGGAACCTACTTCAAACCTCTTCTATACCTGTTTGAGGCACTCCAGCGTCGTCAAATTTCATCAATTTCTTGCCCTTCTTCATGCTACACTCGTATGTTTAGTAGTTTTTTCCATGGTAGGAGTCATAAATGTAGTCGTCAACGTTGCAGTCATTGAAGGTGGGTGACTCTGGATGACATGAAAACAGCCGTTAGGCGCTGCATAACCCCTCTCCGCATTCATTTACTTGTCTCGATGTTTCATTGTTGTACCCGTTCTCCGCCTTCTGCAGGGACGTCCGACCTGACCCGTGCCGTACGCGAGCCGAAAATCACTCATCCTTCCCATGCATCGTTAGATGCCGACCGAATTTAGCAACCCAGCCCTCTGGAGTGTCCCAGCAGAATTAAGGGTATTATTTGAAGATCAACTTCACATTTTTGGCAATATTTTTCAACTTTGCAAGTTAGTTCGTTGCGATTAAAAGATAGGTCAATTTGATTAGTAAGGAGTAGGGGGTGAAGGTAAGGAAAGACACATAAATCGGTGCAGAACAGTCATCCTCGTCAGTCTACTTTATTCCAAGACGCCAATTTTGAAAGAGGTAAAGATTGAGGGAAAAAAGGGGTCTGGGGAGCACTAGCACCTTGTGGGTATATCGCTGCCTGTTAAATAGAAAAGAGAGAAAAATGGAAAACAGTGACATGCTAGATAGATGAGACAGTAAAAACGATAATGGAAACGAGAGGTGGAAATGTTAACGGTGAGAGGTTGGATTGCGAGTCCGATGAGTCGCACGGATTTATGAATGAACCTAAAAGGGAAAGCAAACTATTGCCGCATTTCTCGCTTAATGCAACGTTGCGGGTGTGCGCGTAAGAACCTCGAAATCGCACGATGCTTCACGAAAGCTTTGTTGCAACCTCATTGTGCAAGGGGAGGGAGATAATTGTGCTGACCTTCACGAACCCAATATCGCACATTTTGTTGCTCTTCGTTGTGGCAACCAGTCGCCTATGGTAACAACTCCCCCAAATGATTAAGTGGCATCAACAAATCGTGTAAGCATGAAAGAGAGCAATAATAAGTCATCCACGACCTAGATAAGTCCATAAACAAAGTTCATATCGATCATCCCAAAGCCGATAAGATGTCTGAGCTCGCCAGTAAATGAAGTGAGAACGCACTTGATCAGCTGTAAAGTGGTAAGGCCGAAACTTCCGATCCTACATAGTAACTTCATCTTATAATACCATATATGCTAGAATGCTTTGATACATTATACTACATTACATTAGCATCTAAAACTTCCACGAGCGGTGATAAAAGACGAGTGGCACCACCTCTTCACTACTGCATCATAAATCTATGATCTCAAGGTAATCAGATGCCTAAAGCAAAAAACAGAAGCCTAACATTTGCTTTCATAAGTAAGCTATTCAAGCAGCATCGCACAGGGATTAATTCATCCCTGCAGGTTATTAAACTGCCTCCTTGCTGCGTCACCGCACTGGTTCAAACGTTTTTTTTCTACCTTGATGCCATCACCATCTGATTGATTCGAGAATCTTTCTTATCACCAACCCATCTACTTGAAAATCGCGATCGTACGAACTGATAAAGTTATAACGCCTGCCGATTTCAATTGATTTATTAAAAAAAAATTGGAATAACACTTAGAACGAACCTTAATAGTAAATGGAATACATCTAAAATCACTTGAAGACAGCACATATGAGGAGCGCCATATCGACACATCGGAGACCTCAGTCAAAATGCTCGAACGCTTGCGTTACGATGGGGCAAGGATGAATGAACGAAACAAAAAATTTGTGTAACTCGAGTGCATATTAACGTTTGGATCAATCCAACGACCTTTTAAGCCTAGCAGTGCTTCTTGCTTTCCATGCGACACCACGCATCGGTCACCCCTTTACTAGCAAATTTGAGTTTTGAATCCAAAAAATAAGCACGGCCCCAGCCTACCTTGTAATGCTAGGTGAAAGGGATGAGCGAAAGACTGAAGCAGAAGGAGGAAGATGTGGACGGATGAACTAGTGTTAGTTTCCGCCCTCTTACTCTTCCACTTTCGCTTGCTATCGCCTTCAGTGAACACCTACACGCGATAACCGTTGGCCTGCTCAGCGAAGTAGTCTCCAGCATGAAGTTGCAGTTCGTCGCTACGATATCGCGTCAGACGCACCGAAGTGCGCACCGCCTCATTAATGGAACCTTTGTAACCACCCTTCCTGAGGAGAGAGTCAATCGTTTCCTGATGGTTCCAACCTAAAAGTAGAGGGATTGAAAAAAAACTGACAAGGAATTGAGTAAACAAAGCGATGTAGTACTGGTGTGGAATCCAAGTGCGCCAGGGATAAATAGCAAGACGAATTTGAGACGACCCGCCGTTAAATTCAATTATAATACTGTCTATTCAACCGCCAGTATGAGTGACATCACTTTGATAGCCAACTTGCTTCTGCCGGGCAAACTGGCCTTTGGACTATGCCAAAGCCACACCTCCCATTCTATTCGAATAAAAGTATTCAACCGTCTTATGCACAGTATAGAAATATAATGGAAGTAGTCATCAAATACAGAGGAAGTAAATGTGAGTTCAGTGAATAAGAAAGTATGTGAAGATGGAGTGGATGGATTAAAGGTTAACCTCGCTAGAGTAGTTGATGCTGCCCGAATGAAGCTTTTACCTTCAATATCAAAGATGGATTTGAACGCACCTCATAGTAAGCTGAACTCCAAACCTGCATTTTCGCGCTGTGAAACATGCACCGTAGCTATGTTTATACGGAACACGTCTTGATAAATACAACGGTTAATAATGATACAGCGATAAAGAAAAGCATTAAAATAAACAGCAGAATGCCACGGGGTAAGAAAATGGGTAGATAAAAAAATTCACACAAACCGTAAAACCAGAGCAATGAAACGAACTTATTGCTTGCGTCCTGCACAACACGGTTCATGCCAGGAACCAAGCAAACAAGAGTAGATAAAAGGCAGAACTGGACAGCTCAGAATGCTGGCTTGAAGCACTTATAGCTAGAGCCCCTGTTCAAAAGTATGCAGAATCACAAAGCCTATTTAATAAAATTAAAATATAGTGAACAAACGGAAGGACCAGATGGAGGTGCATTCAACAGAAATGAAAACACCCACCTACTAGGTATGATAACAAACACTGATCACATGCGCACGATAAGTGAGTTTAGTCTGTCGTGTTAGTCGTTCGGGTAGGAGATGGGCGGCGGAGTTTACGAACACTGCCTGGATTCGACACCACTTCGACAACACTTTAATGGTTCTGATTTTATCCATGTAAGATGCATTGAATTACGCATGTTGATAAACACACTGAATAGAAATTGATTGCTGAAAGCAAATTAAAATAATGTTAACTATATTTTTATGACATGTGGATGTAAGATACGCAGCATGCCTCACATTAAGGTCGCCTAGGTTCACAGACCCATCAATTCTGACCACAAGGTTAAGATGTTATGAGAACTCAAAATTCAAGATTCAAGCAGAATGCTACTATCAAAAACGTAAAGAAATGAAGAGGGGACAATAATCAGAAGGCTAAGAGAAAAAGGAAATTTTTACGTTAAGTGAACACAGCTTGGTTAAAGTGGGATTAAAAATATGAATAAGAAATGATTAGGAGTGATAAACTTCAAAGATTGGTGCGAAAAGGATAAGAATCTCAAAAAAACAACTCAAATTAGGATTAACGAATTCAGAACGAATGCACCTCAAAGTGGGAGAAACGCTAACCTTGTTCCACAGCGACTTCCGGAAGGTACGTCGCGGAACGCTGAGACCCACGCTCATTAAGGAACTCTATACGAATCCCATGAACGCCGATCTAGAAAGATTACGCAACTTAGGAGTGAAAAATCATTCCTAAATTTAAAAATAAATAAAACAATGAGAAACAAAATCAGAGCAATAACCTGCCAATCTTTATAGTCGGCTGCGTCCTCAAAATCTGTAAGCAAGGAGACGGAGCAATAGAGGTGGGGAAATTCTTTTTGCGTAATGGGAGAGAAACGCGAATCACGTAATGCACTGAGAAAGTGTAATAAAGACATAAAATACCTATTCAACGCATATTCACGGAGGCCAGTATATAAATTCATCGCCTTAAAAGTTCCAATACAACCGCGTAGACGCTGATCTTTGCCATAGCTCCACGTAACAAATAAAGGACTAGGAATGAACAGGAATAGAAAAGCAATACTATGCATGATTCGGAAAAGTCCTGGGTTGAGGTGGAGGCTCCTGATTGAAAAGCTGCCTATGAAGTACGTCGAAGCAATAAAGGCACATCTCACGCCGGACTAATGGATGAGAGACATCATTGGAAGGCGCCGGAACGCTTTCCTCTTCCACACTACTATTATTCTTATCAAGTCTTTGTTTCTTGCATCCCAAAGCCGGCGAAGTGGGGTCAAAACTGTGTTTCGACATTTATAAAAGGGACCCTACCGCTACAACAAAGCCAGCCAATTGCAAAGTGCGGAAGCTAAGGGCAGGTTTAAAGAATAAAGCTAAACGCAAGATAATAGATGCACAAGGGCACGCAGTTTTAGAGAAAAAAATAAGTCATAATATAGTTTTATGTTTACTCTTTATTATTTGATACAACTTAGTAGAACAAGTCTATTCAAGGCACACCAGAGCCGCAAGCAAACAACTATCCATTTTAGCATCTGCATAATAGGAAAGGAAAATACAGATCTTCATAGTTACTGCACTACTTAATTTATGTGGCATATGTATTACTTTTTTCGCGCGGTTAATTTACTATTCGACTTGCTATTTTATGCATGGGCTGATTTTCTTATTCGCCCTACAATACAGGTATGCAGACCAAAGTAATGTCTTCTATCTAATGAGAAACCTTTGGCGCCAGACCATTCGCAATTCTGACTGGTAGATGCTTTCATCTTGTTCACATACGCTTAAGCTAGCCCTAAGGCCAGGTCAAAGCTCAACCCTTCCCCTTCGCCTATTCTACATCTTTAGAGTTTGAAATAGCAGACCCTTTGACCTTAAGAGAGCATCGAGGCATTATACTTATAGTACATTATATTTTATACCAACCATATTGAACACGACAACTAAAAACATTTGGAACAGAAAATGCTCAGAGTTGATTGCTCTGAGGGCAGGAAATTTCCTGATTTTAAGCAGTATACTTGCAAACATTGTAACACTTTGTAATACTTTGTTTATGTAGCTTTCTAATGTTTAGTGGTCACTATAAGATTGTATGGCCCTTGTATTCATGGGATGGTCTTTGAGCCATCCTCAGGCTCGTTTGCTCTGTCGCCTTTGGAATGCATGAATCCAGCCCCACTTACTGCCTTCTTCAACGGTATGACAATCTCGGATCCCTACATGTTTTATGTATACTGTAACGTCCGTGATAGTGTGGTTGCCCCAGACTTCAGACTAGGTAGAATAAGGTGATAGTTTTTGTAGCGTCCCGAGACTTCCCATATGGCGAAAAAGTCAGTAAGTGTGGGTGGATACATGTATTCCGAAGACAACAGGGCAAATGAGCCTGGGCATGACTCTAAGGCCAGCCCACGGGCACAAGGACCAGACAAACCCTCAAGTGACAGCCAAACGTCAGGTGGTCACATAAACAAAGCATAACAGTTTGTTCTAAATGCATGTATACCGGGGAAAATGGGAAGGGATTGGACCTTTGCTTGAGCCAAAAGTCAGTACTCGCATGCAAAGGTAAATAAACGCCGGGATCCAGGTGGTAACATAATGCAGTTGGTAATTAGTTATTTGTCGTGCTACATGCTGTGTGGGCAGGCTTTGAGGCTAACACAAAGCTCATTTCCTTATCATTCGCCGTGGATACAAACATCCTATTAGCACTTCTTGCTTTCTCAGTTTTAACGGAAAATCGAAAGGCGTTGAAATTATAGTACCGATATTCAAGTGACCAATATTCGTTAAGATGTAGCCGCATTTGAACTACTTTTATGTGATCACCCTATGTGTGGCAGTAACTTCAAAATTCGTCTGGTCTTTGTGCACATGGGTTGGACTTTGAACCAGGCTCAGGCCTAATCCTATTGCTTTACCCAGAATAAATATTTTATATCTCCACTTGATGCCTTCTTCTACCCTGCAGAAATCTCGGGATGCTAAACTTGTGATACCGGAAAGCGAAATGGATATTATTAATGACTTCCATTTTTTGTAATATACCATTTGTCGCATGTACCTACGGTGTTTATAAGATGCATTAACATCATAAAATGCCTGTGTATGATACCAGCATTTGACTTCAACTTAACCCTGTATCCTACAGACAAGCGACACCGTCATGAAACACTTGGAAAACTTTCGTGGCAGAATTCTCCCTGCTACATCCGTGGATTGGTGTCGAGAATGGCGTTACGCATTTCCTTATGTATGGGACTGTATCCGATCCCATTTTCCGTATAACACATCCGTTTCGATCCCGAGTTCCACCGTCTAATCCTGGAAATATTTGATTGTCAACAGATGTGCATTCTTTCATTACCGAATATGTTGAGCGGGGTTTGTGCCAAAAGAAGCACCAATGATTTGGGTCATAAGAGGAAATGGGTAGTGTTGTAATGCTTTGTTTGTGTGAATACCTGACAGTTGGCGGCTACTTTAGGATTTTTCTGGCCTTTGTACTCGTGGGCTGTCCTCCAGAACATGCTTAGGCAGATTTGCTTCGCCCTTCTTGCTATACCTGTAACCAGCTTCATTTACAACCTTCTTCCACTCGACGAAAAGAATTGGGATGCAAAAAGTGCAATAATTTGTTGATTTGACGACTTCATTAAGATTTGTCTGGCTCTTGTGCGAGTGGACTGGCCTTCGGGCCAAGCTCAGGCTTAATTTATTAGTCATCCTTAGAATACATGTATTCAGCTTCACTTACTGCATTCTCCCACTCGGTGGGAAGTCTCGAAAGTCTACACAGCAAAAATCTGGGTAAATTTTTATCCGCTCGGTTGTTGCTCGCACGTTCAGGAGTAGATATTATTCATCAGCTCTAATTCTTAAAAGAAAAGTGGGCATGTGTTGTCCCGAGACTTCCCATAGGGAGTAAGATGGCAGTAAGTGTGGCTGGATACATGCATTCCGAAGAGAACAAAGCAAATGGGACTGAGCGTGGCCCAAAGGCCAGCCCACGCGTACAGGGAACAGACAAATTCTAACGCAATTGCTAAAAAGCCAGGCAATCACATAAACAAAGCGTTACAATGTCAATGCATGATTTGGCAAAATTAAGATATTATATTGGTTCCGAGTTTATAACTGTTTTGGATTTGCCGGATTTCCTAAAAACGTACTGAAATCATTGTTCCATTTCTGCATCGTGCATGCCATTAAAGGCTTTAAAAATTTAAAATTAAAATCATAACAATAGTTGACAAGCGTGAGACTTTAAGGGAAAATGGCGACTTTATTGCATACTTAGTCGTTTTGAAATAATTTAGCATGACTTTCCGATTTTTATTGCCTTTTTGCTGTTTCCGACTGGTTTCAAGAGCAGGCTTTCGCTTAATTCAACGGTATCAGCGGTTTTTTACCAACGTCGCCTTTTTCCTAACTGCTGGACTTCCTATTTAGCCTTTTGAAATCATGCATTTGGGCCTTGTTGTGCATTGGAACCTCTGGTCACTGGTTCTATTTTTTATTGTCGATTGTTATAATCCGTGTGTATGCTATTTTATGATGATAACTGTTGAATATGCAGCCCTTCTACATATCAGCTTTTCTTCTTTTTGTCAGTCTGAACAGGTTGTTATGTGCTATTAGGTGCTTTGTATCATCTGGGCTCCTTATTTCTGACATTTTTTCATACACTTTGGGATTCTACTCTAGGTGACCCTGTGATTTTCCTTGTTCAATGGAGTCCGATTTGTGGAGTTTGCTGAATGATCTCCTGACACGGACCGTTGGTCACTCTGTAACTGCTGAACTTGAAAAATTTCGGTCCATTATTCCTGAGGCTGGTATGCAATTGCTCAACATCGTCTCCCAGGCAGATTTCTTTCTTAATCGTCTAGAAGAAAGACACCGTCAGAAGATTATCTCTGCCATTATTGGTGATATTTATGCTCGCGTCGAACATATTTTTCAGTGAGTGTTCTTGTCAGCTGATAAGTTTTTCTTTTTTTATTTTGAATAGATTTGTCGTAAAGGCACTCCAATTACACATTAGCTCTTTCATGCTCCATAATTTGGTCATGCTTTAAAGCAAATCAACATTGATGTCTTTGTTGTGCTTTCATTCAGTTACTCCGCCTCGTGCTTAAGGGTTTGTTGTGGCGGCGAGAGCTCGAACGAAAGTGTCATCACAGCTTGTCGAGTTGCTCTTCAAGAGTCCTGGTATACCGATACCGGGTCCCCTAGTTTTTCGAGCAGTTCTCCCTTGGATTCATTGAAAACCAACGCGGCTTCTTGCTCAGTGGTTTATCTTAGCCCTGCCGCTCCTTCGCACTTGCGTCGGTGGCTCTCTCTTAATGTATGCATACCGTTATTTTTATTACATCTAAGCTATCGTTCCATCCACCAGTGCGTTCATTCAATCATTTGCTCGTGTGCCAAGGTCTCAGGTCAAACTCCTTATTTGTTTTTAAGCTCTGTCACGCTTTGACGTTCGTCTCTTTCATCATTGATGTGTTCATTTTCATTTATTTCTTCCTTTATAATTCGCATTATATTTATTCCCGTTCCACTTCATTCTGGTTCCATGTTTCAAAAACCGTGAATCATAATCTCATCTCCTTTTTGTCAGAGCAACAAGCCAGATTTGATCAAATCACATTGTTACCTGGCATTTTTATTGGTTAATAATACCAATCTTTAAGCTTTTTAAATAGGCCTTTGCTCCGATATCTCACAAGATTTACTCCTTCGAAATTGTTGTTTTCTCAAGATTATGCATTCCTCAGTTTTGTTTTGCAAATATTACCTTACTGAGGAACAACTCGATCGATTGGTGTTTCTACCACCTGAGCCCTCTAAAATTTGTGTTCCTTTCTGAAGCTCTGCTGCTCCAACCTCCTAATCACCATCTTGCCTGCAGAAGACAACGGCATTTTGCGGACAGTCGTAAGTTGTGTACCATTTCCATTCCCATTATGCAGCATCTCGGTTTTTAGTTATCTGGCATCTCATAGTTAAATTAGGAAATGATTAACTCCTCAGGCCTCCGAGATCCAACCGTTCAGTACAATTTTATCATTGTTAGTTTGTTTCATTAATTTTCGTGCAAGCGTGTCGGGAACTTCAATAGCTTGCACTTTGGGGGAACTCATCAACTACACTTACCAGCACCTAGTATTGCAAAGTTTGTATGTAAGCATGCCATTGTGCAAGACTTTGTTAGCTTCTTCACTCCGTTATCCCCACTTTGAACTCTCGCATTGGGTTTGGTTAATGTGATTGTAATTCATCAGTTTTATGAAGTTAATTAATCCTATCGTCATTATGTGAGTTGAATTTTGTTCGATATTCTTGGTTTATGGCTTAAGAAGACATGGTGTTTGTTGTGCAACATGGAGATATGAAGTTTTTCTTCGCAAAGATATTTGGGGCCACAAGATACACCAAGTGTGCCTCAGAGATAGCCTTCTTGCATGCATAGACAGGAACTTGGAGGTCGTTGACCTATGTATTGTGAGTAGCAGTTTCAGTCTTAGCAATATGAAGGTAATTGTGTTAGCGCGGGCAAAAAAGGTCGCGCTTTGTGATCGTTCTTATATCTTCATTCTAATGAGAGAGCTGCTCTGTGGCTCGGATGTTCCTTAAATGTGGAGGTTTTGCAGCGCTAGCAGTCGGTCGGTTTATACTATTAGTATGCTGAAGATGGAGATGACTGAGTCATGAACGAAATGCCGTTGCAGCAACGTGATGGTAGTCAAAGAGAGTGCATCATCAACCTCATCAATTATATTCTTGAGCAAATATTTGCTTCCACAAAATTACATTTTCGTTATTTCAGGGTGTAGCTCACTTCGAAAGAATAATCCAAAATGACCTACACCTTGGTCGACGACCTCTACTCCTTATCGCCTATGCAGGTCAAGCCCCCAATCCCACCGTTTTCATGTTCCTTTTGCCCCTTTTTTTAATTGTCAGCTGCTCCTTTAAATGAGAGGCTCCTGCTTCAACAGGTTCAATGTCGAGTGGTGTCTCGGACTGTCTGCCGGCTCTGGCTCGCATTTGTCACTGTCACAAGATGTGGCTCCATGTTGAGGGGTGTGTTTTCCTCCTCCTCCTCCTCCCCCTTCTTTTGGTTTAGACAAAGTCTTTTGACACCTGCATTTTCCTTTTAGACTCTCCTTTCACCGCATGGCGTTGCTCACAAGCCCTTCAGTCAAGCCCACCGGGGTGACTACGATTAATAGCATTAATTTGGAGCTATCACTCTGCCTCGGTCTACCTCGGCCTCTGAGTATTGTAAGTCTTCGTATTTTTCCAGTTATCCTTAAGGAAGGTATTATAAGACGCCGTGTGAAGCCTGTCCTTCACGCTTCGCTTATGTTTTCAGCCTCGTATTTCACCTTCAATGGCTCTTTATAGCGTGCGTTGAAGTGGTGTTTTGTACAGACACACAGACAACGAAGAAAAGAAGTGTTTTTTTCTTTGTTTTTAATGCAATTCGCCGTCCACCTCATTCTCCTATTTCATCGGACCGTCAGCTTGTGGGCTGAAGTGATTAACATGGGTATGTACGCAATCGATAGAGCTGTCATCGCCATAATTGTTTTCTCGAGGGTTTGGGGTGATCCTACATACTTTTTGTGCTACACATGTGTTCCTTTCTTTCTCTTTAGCTCCTGATGCAGTCTAGGTTGCCCGATTCCATTCTTCTCTACTTGAATATCTTTCCCTTAACAACAAGAAGAACTGCAGAGGAGAAGGAGGGGGAGACTTCGCTGCTTTCACGCTCACTGCCCTCCACCTGTCTTGCAGATGCCCTGTTTGCTTGGTTTGCGCTTCGAATTCAGGGTGGTAACCATGTCGCTCGGCTTCGACATGCCGATCATCTTGTAAGCTGTCTTGTATTTTTCTCCCTGTATTTTCAAGTACTCTGTCTTGCAGTAGTAATTGTAGATGTTCAAAGCTACCCTTCGGTTATCACTTCACCCATTTGGTGCTCCAAAGTGGAAGGGGTTAAGCAGTGCAGCTTGATGGAAATCGCGTTTCGCGCGAGCATAGCATGTTCTTTCAATTGTCAATAGCAAGGGAGAGTGAAGCTTATTGCTATTCTTCATGGACGAAATTCTACAATGTGGACGATGTGCTGAATTGTTTTTCCTCTTTCAACTTTCCCTATCACTTTGTTTTAGACTGCATACGCACTCAAAAGGATGGAGTGCCTTCCTTTTGTGGAAATTGTCGTAAGCACTAATCCCTTTTGATAGTCTTCTTTTGCCTTCTTCTATTAAATTTTAATGATTTGCTTTTCACCAGCCATCACACTGGTGTTCCAACGTCACAACTGACAGTTGGGACCGCGACTGCGACACCTTCATTAGGATGCTGGTAGGTGTAACCTTCTCTTCCCTTAACAGCCCTCTAAAGCCGTTTGGATAGGCAACGTATCTACTTCTTTAGTGTGACACTTCCGTACATTCTCCAATCATCCTCTTCCGCTATGCTTTCCCATTGTCTCAAGGTGGGTTCTTATTTTTAACGACCTTTGTTTCTTGCGCCACATGATTCATGTGCCTTGCTATGCTACGCCTGGTTTATCGTTCTCCTCACTATTCTGCGACTCACTTTCGTATAACTTGTTTACTTAATTGCCTGGCATGAAGATTCGAAATCAAATTTCTTGTGTCTGGGCTAGTGATCCAGCTTTTCTCCTCCGCATTTACACATCTGTGATGGCATTGGCATTCACTTGACACCTCTTTGCGCATTCGCACAGTTCCTGATGAACTTTTAATCTTTAGTTGCTTCACATACATCGATGCAGCCTCTTTCATACCACTTTTGCGTCACAGATGAAGAATCTGTAGTCAAAAGGAAGTCTTCACTGATTTCCAATACCAAGGCTGTAGACGAAGCGTCAATGAAGGAGCGTTGCTTGTTCGACTCCCTGGAGACCTGTGTAGACCGACGACAGGATGGCGTGATGGAGCAGCGTTTTGTCAACAGTCTCAACCAATGGGTACCTTCCCTCTTCTTAGTGTTCTCTATCAGTTTTCTCAAAAATGATTCTCCCTAATCAGTGCTTTGTCTTCACTCAGGTGTTTTTTTTTGCTCGCAACCTTTTAATCCGCTAACGTAGATAAGGAGCGGGAGAAGGAGTATCTTGTTTCACCTTACATGCATCTTTTGGCTTTAAAGTTGGCCAGTGCTCTACAAGTTGAGTATCCCAGTTTCTTCATCAAAACACATGTGTTGTCTAATGGAACATTGGTTCTTCGTTTCTCCCTCCTCGATTCTGTAAATCGTGAGTTTTCCTTGCTTATCCACCTCATTGCCTTAGAGTGGCTGCATTAGTTGTGTATGGAAGTGCTTTTATCCTCCCACATCATTCGCCTCTTAGTTGCATGCTTTGCCTCTGAAATTGCAAGCACATCGACAACAGATGCAGCCAATTGAAATACCCCAAGGTCACACAATAAATTGGCTATCTTCTTCCCCCTCTCCATAATTTAGTAATGGCTGTCAAAGACGCAGACGTCGATGCTTTGGTGGAGACAATCAGCCTCGACTGCGTAAGTTGGAATTACATTTACAAACAGCTGTTGAGGAAACTGACAGGATTCGTACGCTTAAGTTTCATGGGATGAGGTAAAAAAATTAAAGAATGGAATAGATTTCACTGCTAACAAGTAGAATGTTATCGTGAAGACAGTGGAATCGTGCCTGCATGTAGTACAATCTGTTGGCAATTTAAATACATCTAAATGTTATTGCATGCACATGAAAGGAAAAGGCAAAGATCATATTTGTGCATGTAAATGACTTGTTTTGTTTATTGTATTGAATGTACGAACATTTCCACCTGCCCTCGCCGCTGCATAGAGCATAATGGAAGCGACGTGGAAAGAGAAGCCTGCGTTTTGCAAACTCATCAACGGTACACCAGGGCTTTACTACTACCACCTTCCTGATTGGGCTGGTCTAGGCGCCGTTTTGTAAGTTCACTTATGAGTAAGGCGATAGTTACGTTGGTGCCCAGGGCATATGTCCAAAATTTCTGTGACATCATGAGTAAGAGGTGCTACCTACCGTGGCTGCGTGCAATTTAGACCTGCTCTCCTCTCTTCTCCACCTTTAATATTGCTAATTAGTCCATCTGCACTGCTCTCAGTTCCTTCTGTTGGGTAAGGGATGGCGGCAGTATCGTTGGATGACCTTCTCAATATGCAGGATAGCTCGGCGATTCCACAATTTTGTATCATATTTTGTAGCTACGTGCCACACACATACCGCTGCCTTCTACCTGATGCTGGTGAGATGCTGCCCTGGGAATATCAAAATCTCCTGTCTACCAGTCTCCTTCGTCTTCCTGCGAAGGCGGCTCATGACATCTGCGAACTCAACCGCGAGCTCATCTCCCGTCTTCGAAGCCACGACTACGCGTTCAGCTCGGCTAGAGTTACCTTCAATACTGTACCCGGCTTTTGTGAGGCACTGGAGAATTTGGCTTCCACGACAGGCACTAAGCGGTCGTCGAGTGCGAACTTGGTGAATGGGGGTGGCGAAAGTAATGGGTGTGGGGAGAATGGGGGCGCTGCCATCTCTCACATGCAATTTCACTGTCTGCGCTTTGGTCTCATTACTCCGGGTACGGATACTAGTGAAATGGTGCAAATGGTTCTGCGAATGGCGAATGTTGTGGAGGAGGACAGCAGCGTACGTAGTGTGCCGCATTTCTTGTTCATCCATACAACTGCATTTTTGCACTAAAGGCGTCGATGACGGACCGTCTTACCTGGTCACCAATTATTGAATGTGGTCTGTGACAATCTTATCATTGAGAAAGAGGCAACACTGATGATGAAACTGATGAAGTAGATTGACTGGTACAGCTGAAACGTTTTTTATCCTTCAGTACGTGAATAGTCTCTCGGAGGTGGTCAAGTGGGGCATTGAGGAGGCCACATTGCACATGAAAGAGGAGCGCACTAAAATAATGCGTGAACAGGTTAGCTTTATTTTTTTTTGCCTTCCTGCCTCTCTGCCTGAATCTCAAGAACCTGCATGTTTGCGTAAAGGAGGAATACAGCTCTAGTACAGCTCTAAATCGTCCTCCCTCAACATGACACTAAGTATTTTATGCATTTTTCTGTCTCTATGTCGTAGACAATCCTTCTCTCCAACTCTACATTGAGCATGTGATTGTCTTGTGTTGAGGTGTTACCTACCATCCTCCAGCCTCTCTTAAAGTACGCATCCTCTTTGAAGCGGTGGTGGGAGTACGCCCTTCTTTTCTCACCAGAGCTCTACCGCTTTTCACTGTCAGGGCTGCTTCATGGATAATGACTATCCCCAATGCTCGACGTTTTCCCTACTCCGCTCCCCTTATAACCCCTGTGCACACTGCGACGAAACCAAAGATCCAGTATTTGTGGAACTGGTGCTTAACCAGAGTGGCCGTACTGCTACCCTTCCTAGGTGGTGCAGTTTGCTACTGTTGCAATTGACAAGAAGGTGCCTCCAATTCTAAATTGGGGAATAGACAGTTGTGAATCCCATCCAATATTGACTAGAAGCAGGAGGAATTTTGTTGCTTAGGCTTCTCGTCTAAATGCCTGTCTGATTGTACTAGGAGTGGGTATGAGTAGCATTGGTGGTCATGCAATACTTTAAGGAATTTGTGTTGACTTTGGTAAACTTTATTAACAGGGCGTGCTACGACAAGTGCCTTATTTGGATAAACTCATCAACTGGTGGTCACCGCTCATTCCTACACAAATCCACGGTCAAATGCTGAATCTTTCCATTGGTGAGTGCAGATCTACCTTTGCTAATAGTGTGTTTCAAGTGCGTTTGACGGGCAGTCGTCATTAGCATCTGGTACTGAGTTGCATTAGGGCGGACGTCCTCAAAAAAATTTGATCCCTTGAACTAGTTGTGTTGTTAGTTAACAATGAATCATAAAAACCGCCATGGGTAGCTGGGTAGGGGGCGCCAGATTGGCATATCACTTAAATGTGGTGTTGAGAGGTAAGGAAATAAATCGCTTTTGAGAATTGTTTTCCACGTGGTCACGAGTACGTAAATGAGGTCGCTAAACGCAATAGAGTGATCAATGTGTTTCATGTAAGCTCTCTGGAGAAGCTCTTGTAGTGGTTGCGACTTGGCCTTTTAGGTGAACTAGTTGCCACGGACTCCATCCGCCCTGTTTCTAGTTCTCCACCCGTCGGGCACGACCAGACTAACAAAGATTCTTCAAATGGGGAGAAGGAAGCCTCTGCCTCGTTCTGGTCGTGGCTGCTCCCCTTCAGTGGAACCTCTGCATCGTAGGTAGAAGTTAATGGAGCCAACACAACCCCCTCCCTCTCCTCGAAGTTTCAACTACTTGTTTTTTTGTACGTCTATTTTTTTGTCCTTCCTCTGGCTTTGCACTCAAAGATTACTCCATCGTCATTACCGTGACTGGGAATGCATCTGCAAGTGGCCGGAATTTTATCTTTCCTCTGCAAACTTGTGATCAGTGCATATGAAATGCGCATTGTGAATACACTTTCAACGCTGAAGTCTTTCGGGGTTTCCTTTGGCTGTTGCACAAGGACGACGAGATACTGGACGAGAGCAACCGTTGCAGAAGACTTGCAGATTTGCCTATATACACAGACTGGAAGTAGTGGGTGAAAAAGCTGGTTGTGTTGGTGTGTTGGGACATGTTTGAAGTGACGCGTTATGCCGAGCAGGGAGGGAGATCAGCAGTGGACGGGAGAGGTGAGGAAAACTGTGGAAATTGGGGCAGTATGTGGGGGTAATTATCCAGGCGTTGGGACAGTACTGTCAATTATGATAAGAGGCAAATGATGGAACAGTGTTAAGTAGTTGTATTCACATTCGTTGTCAGTAGTATACGATCATAAGCCTGGATTCATTGAAAGTACCGCAGTATTTACACAGGTCTTGCATGCGCTCCGCTTAATCCGTGTACTTAAAGCGCTCTAAATGCATTAAGCATCAACTTGCTACAATTATGTGTACCTTTTTCATTTTAGCTATGAAATCATGATGACTGAGGGGTTGGAGGCGGGGACAATGTGGGCCAGATGCAGCAGTTATTGCTGTGATAATGATTGGAGTGCTTAAAATACACAGAGGGGCAGAGGTGGGGAGTTGAATGATTTAGGTGGTGGTGAGAAGTGCTTACCTTTCATGCATAACGCCAAGATGAAGCTTTGTGAAAGAGGTCGTACAACGTTTAGTGGGTGGCGCAAAAGATGTGGTTCTTTACACTAGTTGCATGCCTTAGCGATTAATTTAACGCGATATGATGAATTGGATCTCATAATAGCCAAGATGTTGAGGCAAAATATGAACAACTACTTTAATTCTGTGAGTAGCATCAACCTCGACGAAATGAGGTGGAGGTATAATAGTGACTGAAGCAAATACACCACATGACGCAGGAATGAAAGCGAGCAGGTAGAAGTGTAGCATTTGCAGGGTGACAAAGTGTGCGGGGAAAATAAGATGTAACCTATCCGTGCAATAGTTTATTTTCTTGCTAAATAGTTTTGTAGAGTCGCGGCATCAAAATGCAGGAGGCGATGAAAGAGGTTTTGTACCCTTTTTTGTTTGCGGTGCTACAGCGTTTTTTGAACTAACTGTAAGTATGATTGCGAATGACGTATTCATTGATCTCTCTTTTGCCGCTTTTTACATTGTGTCGTCATTTCTTCCAGCGAAACAGGAAATAGTTGCAGTTTGTGCAGGTGATGTTAACGATGTTACCCAGCATTCCACATTGACTGCCATACCAAAAGTAGCGAAAGAGGCAGAAAAAAGAAGGAAATGCAGGATAAGCAAATTTGAATTGATGTGAGTTCTCAAATCCCCTTCACCTCGTTCTCGTCGTCGTCGGAGTTTGTTTTAGCAGTAAAGCTTTCGAAAAGTTACTTATGAGCCAACATAATTTCATGTCTTCTCTTTACCAGCTACTTTTGCATCCAAAACCAAAAGTAAAAGTACTAAAAGTAAAAGTATCTAACAAGAGAGGAGTGAAAGATGTGAACAGAGGTTTAAATTGCTTTAAACTTTCACACAATCATCTCAGGCGGTTTATGCAGGCAACGTATAGTAAGTGTAACCTCACTTTAACTGCCGTCCCGCTTATTGTGAGACTGGGGTGGTAGCCTAAAGATGGCGTTAATATCAACCCCTCTGTTTGTAGGCATCACAGAATACCTTTCCATTAGGTCATGTTTTGCCATTATGGAATAAAATTCATGAAAGTTTTCCTTCACCAAACCAGCAACGAAGTATTCGAGTTAATCCTAAAGATGGGTGATGTCATAGCATTTGGGCAAAATGTAAAGTCAAGACGTACAAAAGGGCTGAGAGGCTCCTAACATTATTTTGATGCCAATTTTTAATTGTATATCACTGTGACGCAATGAATTCGGCTGGCATTGGAACTATACTTGAGGCTCCATTTTGCATAAGAACTGTTTTGGGATGGAGGAATAGGTAGGATGAAGGGCGTACCCACTGAACCTTGTCCTTGACCGCGTTTAGTGGTATTGTGTGCCGACGCAAAGGCGAGGCCGTAGACGTAGTAGTTTGTTTATGTGATCACCTTATGTCTGGCAGTTACTTTGAGACACATCTAATGCGACCTGGTCTTTTTGGGCCAAGCACAAGCTTAGCCCTTTTTCTCCCTCCAGAATACATTTATTCATCCCACCTCAATGCCCTCTTCTACCTAATGGAAAGTCTCCGTACGATCCAAAAGAACAAAACACAACGCTTTACATGGCTGTATTAGGACAGAATTGTGCTCCCGTTCCTTCCTGTTCCTTGCCTCTCATTCTTTGTACTGTCTAGCCACCTAGTTTATTCCAATACGGGCGTACTAAACAAATTCACAACGAACTTTCAGTAGAAGAAGAGTTGTCTCCATGATTACTAGGCCTGTTCTCAAAGGTCAACGTCGTTTTAACCTTTAGCAAACGATTTCCGCATCAGTCTCTGACAAAAATGTGACTTTGTTTTCGCCAACAGCAGTGTAATGCTGCAAAGTCTCGCTGAAAATGAAGTAAAACTTGACACAGCTGAAGAGCCATGCCGGGTAGTGGAGGCACTAAAGTTGGCCCTCAGGTCCAAACAAAACCAAAAGAAAGCCTTTAGCAAGCACTTTGTAGTGCCAAAAATCAAGGTCAGTGCGATCCAAAGATTTCATATTTCCGTCATGTGACGTAGTAGGAAGTTTGAGGAACATGCGAAGCTCTGAATGACTTAATTTGAAAGGGTCTTAAGCTACATCCCAATTTTACAGAAACTTTTGACCAACTCCATTAACACGAATGTTTTAACACTTAAATCTAGCATAATTTTGAGCAAAGTCAAACCAAAATTTGGAGCCAGGTTTGCATATTCCTTCGGCATGTTTCGTAACAGCATGACGAAGTCTCCCAGTTTCTGTTGAACCAGACCAATTCTGTTTCCATTTTTATTCTCTACTTTCAAACCTTCAAAAGTGGGTGCAAATCGCCTCGCACCAACGCCGGTGGCCCCCAAGTCCTTCTTCCCTGACAAACCGTTCCACGTCCTTTCATCCTACGGGGGGCGATTACTTCCTCGGCTGGTTTATTTGCCTTCTCTTGAAAGAGTAAGCTTTGGAGAAAAGATTACCCCGTTTGCTTAATTGCACCCTTTTAGATGGGTGGCGACAACTCGAAAGGGCACGAATGCGTTAGGAAGGCATACGCTTTTTCAACATGTCTTCCTATTGCAAGATTGTAAGGATAGAGGCGAAGGCAGACGAAATAACTACCTCTTCACACTAAATCTTTTATTTTCAAGTTGTTTACTCAAATGTGTAATTAGAAATCACACAAATAAGGTGTCCCACTCTATAATTTTGCATGAGTGAAGGCGCTGTCATCCATCATGGGGATTGGAAAGGCAGGTCGATATAACGTCCGCGGAAGTAGAAAAGAAGTATGATTGAAAGGGCTAGTATAATGAATGGAATGGGGAGAAAAAAGCCAGGAAGAAGTGCTGCAGCAATGACTGGTAGTAAATCCAAGCGCATTTTGCTGAATTTCTTGGAAGTGTCACTCCGTTCCCGAGCCCGATGTCAAGGCGTGTTCTATTGATCCCAGCCTGTCTAACTTGACACACGTGGTCGGAGATCACGGCGTTGAAACGCCAAAAAGCTGTAATGAAGAATTTTGATCCATTTTTTTTAATACTCTCTCTAACAGGTCATAGCATTAAATGATGCGTTGGTCACTAAAGGCATGGCTATTGCACCTCCTCTGGGGATAATTGGTCCCTGAGTCATTTTAGGCAATCTCATTCTCTGTTTTATCAAAATGATTCCCGACTTAATATTTTATACTTTTCGAAGTTCGTGGAAGTTTCAAGGGCCTGGATTGGTGATATGAAAAGCGGACTTGATCCTAGAGACTAGCATCCCTATTTCTAGTACCGCTAGCTAAGATGGAAGGGCATTACGATGTTTGCCCTCAGTCTCTAGCTTCTTAAAACCACCTTTAAGGTCAAAGGCCGTACAAGTTGTGAACGGTGTGGGAAATGATTTGGCACATCTTCCACCTTTCCCCAGTCAAACAGAGCGGGTAATGCTAAGGTTTGGATGAGGCAGTAAGAAAGTATAGACATGATATCTTCCTCTCACGTAATTGTTATAAGCCAAAAATGCCACTTTTAGGCCAAATGTTAATATCTGATGGCTGGCACTTACTCCTCTCTACGAGGTTTTTTTGTTCCAACGGATTTGCCATGGAATTGCTGTTAAGACCCATTCTGTCTTGACTATTCAGTGGCTGAAGTAGTTGACCCATGCATTTTTACGTTGCGGTGCCAATCTTGGTCTGATGACTGACTCGGAAAAAAGTGGCCAATATCAGCACCACAGTGGAAGCACATGAGGTAATTAGGGCTATGGTTAAATTAATCTCTCAATTTTTGCAAAAGCATTTGAGGCTGGACCATCGTGTGTCCCCAAAGGAGTGAAGCCTACAGGAAATATCAATAGCTTCCTTCGTCTTTCTTGACCCTTCTGCACATCTTATCGTCCTTCGGTCCCTGAAAAGGGGTCCCCTTGGTGTCGAAGACATTATAATTTTGGTTAATTAAGCATAACTTATCATTTTAAGCATTAAGTTGAAGTTTTGTTATCTTAATCTTAACTATTTCCCTCATATGTATCAAATGGCCTACGGATTATACCAAATAAATTTATAATCGAAGAATACAGTAGCCATGTTTAACTTCACTTACGTGAAGATAATCTTCTGTACGTACTTCAAAAATTTTACGATTTATTAGTGTATTTCACTATTCAAGTTCTAATGGAGTTGCATACACTGATTGTGGTCTCCATGTTCCCTCCTGACTCAAACGAAGGTTTATTGATGATGTAAGGGGAGTGTAAAGAAAAGGCAGCTTGTATTGTTCAAAGGTCAGGCCGCGCAGCAGAGCTGTAGGCGTTCAGCCTTTAGCTTTCAAATTGAAATGAGAAGGCTATCAATACACAAATCATCATACATACTACTGCTTAAAAATCAGTAGCATTGTGTTAATTATGAAAATAAGCTATAACGAAAGTCCGAATCTTGCAGCTTTTGTAATCACACACTGCACACAACTACGACTTCCAGTTTGACCGATAATAAAATTGTATAAGTTACTTTAGAAAATTCAGGGCTAAGAAAGTAAAGGCAGCCCACGTTACTTATTTACAGAAAATCATCTCAATTCTACACTGTTCTACCTTCAAATAGCCTACAGGTAGCTTATAAACAACTTTTTATCTTGCCTACGTTTACTCCATCGCAAAATAGATTGCAAGTTTATAGATCCTTGGGCCGATAGCCTACTGACGCTGTTGTTAGTGACAAATGTTTTGTGTCATCTAAAGTTTTGCCTGAACCTACAATTTTGTCGAGAGGCGGTAGGTGTACGCAAACTTGGCAACGTAGACAATGCCATCTTTCACACTAAAGTGGAAAACCTTCGTTGAGATAGGCAAGCTGGGCGTATGCAACCCCACTTTTATACTTCACCGTCCTCTCTAGCGTATTCTCTTCCATATGAGGTGGGCAAGGTCGAAACACAGAATCTTTGCTGCCATACTCAGCACGAGTAAGAAACGTTCAGTTCAGGACAAGTTTCCACCATTCCGAAGCTGAAGAATCAAACAAGGAAAGTTAAATAAACTTGCCTTAGGTAATAATTTATACAAACAAGTGAATGCAACACATTATGTCTACTACTTCCTTCTAGAGGTTGTTTTAAATTGACTTCCTGTTCCATTTTATATCGCCAATCAACACATCCAAAACAGCATTTCACTGATCAATGCAACAAGAGCGAATGCGTTACCAAGTTATACTCTTTAAGATCGAAATTACCCCCTCTTCTCTATCCTTTAGACATTGCCCTTGGCAGGCGGTTTTCTTATTTCCTGTCCTTCGTTCCATTCCACAGCTAAAGACTTGGATCGTGTGTCCATTTTGCCATCCACAACCATCTATATCTCCATACTAATTTTTTCTAGATAATTCTCTGCCTCAGACCACCAGTATTGACGGCAGCAAGCTTTACTACCTGCAGCCCTGTCGTGTGTAAGCTTGTGCTTGTGTATTTATCTATCAACTAGGTTGTGTCAACGCTGAATGACAAAACCTCCCGCAAAACCTAAACACCCTTTTTTACACCCCATTTCGTAACTATTCTCACAAGTTTGTACTTTCGTTTTCGACTTCTATGGCTTTTACATTTCTGACGCTGACAAGGGAGAGCTGAATGAATTAGCAAATGTTGGGTCTCACATTGCCATGTTTGATTAATTTATAAAACTAATATCTTCAAAAAGCCGTGGTGCGGTTTGAGACGAATAGTTAGAGGCATAGCCTGAGAATATGGCACCAAAGCAAGCATCTATTAGCAGATCCAAGAATCCAATTCACCATCGTGGTTTCAGTGGTGCTTTGAGCCCCCAGTAAATCATGTAAAAGTCCATACAAACGTACTTATTTACAATTCAGTAGCATGTGATTTGAAGAAGTTACTTGAGAAAGCATTGTATTGAACAATCTTGTGCTAATACCTCTGAAGATAAAAGATGCATTATGGTAGGCAAAAAGTTAAAAATCATACAAAACATCTAAATAAACAGGGATAGTGTGGAAATTTGGTCAAATTTTCAACTCTAAGGAGGAATGCAAAAAGGTGTGTTGGAATGAAGCAGATTCGGTTCGGTTAGGGAATGCTGCAGCTTCAAAATCACACGATCGCGTTTGATCCGACGCTCCGTTTCCATCATCTCACGATACACCCGAACCAACAGCATTAGCATTGTAGTTCCACCGATCAGATAGACTGCAAAAATAGGAAAATCAACGACTCCTTTGCTGTTGGATGCAATGAATGTGCATCATAGTTTCAAATTGAGTCAAGACATAAGAAAATGAACAGAAATATCACGTACCAACAACTCCAATGTTATAGAGTTCGTGTGCCACCTTATGTACTTGTGTACTGTTTGAGATGGATACGTGAATAGGCCCTCTACCGGGAACAAAGTCACCAAAGCCAATTGTTGTGAGCGAGATGAAACAGAAGTAGATGGAGTCAAGATAGCTCCAGTTTGGTTCGAGTCGCATGAAGATGTAGGCTGGTAGGAGTAGAATCAGCGTGAAAACGAGGATAACCACTATGATGAGGTGAAAGGCACGAGCTCGCGTTGATCTGTTTTTACGCAGGGCGTACAACTTCTCCCATAAAGATAGAGGAGGCTGTGCGACAGAGACCTGTAGATAAATGAGGGCTTGTCATTGGAATATAATACATTTGCAGCTTTTTAATGTGCTCAGGGAAAGACTACCTAAATACATCCCTCAAGAAAACTTGAATGCGCTGCTTCATGGAGGAGCAACATCAAAACAAAAGTTGACAGCAATGGGCGCAACAACTAAATTCGTGCATTAAAGGGTTTCAAGCAATCCCTTTAAAACCACAAAGGGAAGATGACACCAATTCGAATGCCTCTGGGTTATAAACATATGACAGTTTTTCCAAGAGGCACCTCGATAGTTATTCATTGCACAGCTTTCAAATGTAGAATGAACGGGATCTGAGTAAATTCACAAGCTATTCTGCTACCGTGTTGAAAAGCCACCGAAAGACTTGGTTTGGCTTCCCCTGTGAACGGCTTTGAGGCTTGCTTGCTGAAGGAAATGGGAAAAGCGCTACAAAAGGCGACGGAGGCCATGTATTGGGCGAAATAGCTGTTTAAATTAGATTCACCTCTGTAGAATTTTGCCTTCATACGAAACAACCTTTTACCTTACACAATTCTTTCAACTACCGTGTAGTTATTAAAGAAAATTAGAGT